GAGAGCATAGCCTCGTGTAACAGATGCAGACATATTAGATATCAGAACGCTTTCTAAAATATCAAGAACTTCATCCTCTGTTACCTGAAAAGGTACAGAAAGGTTAGGCTGAGGGAGAGAGAAGCCTTGCAGCAAGCCTTGCAGGGCATACTGTAAAAACATGTCTTTTGCTTAATGGCCATGTTGTACCTCCCCTGCAACTTGGTGAGCCTGCAGCATCGTGTTCAGAGTGTACAAGACACATGCATCTATGTGGAGATCTTAGGAGATAAGTTTTAAAATACAGTTCCTGTAACATGCACTGAACAGCAGGTTTATCACCAAAATACTCAGCTAAGACCCTACAGCTCCCCTGCAAGCTAGGCTAGCACTGAGATCACACCGCTCTGCCAGTTGTAGCTGCGCTCCATGCTGTGTTTAGGCAGCCCACTCCTGTGGCATGGGAAGGAGATTTCTCCCATGGTCCATCACCATCATGGACACCAGTGCTAAGTAACTGCCGCAGTCATTCCCCTTGAATAGCCAGCAGCAAGCAGCTCCAGCCTCAGCCAGGTACAAGCCATACCTGTATTGGTTCCTCCTCTTCACACTGACCAGACACCAGAAGATCTCCATACTCTCCTATGCACCAAGAGGCCACTTGCACCAGCGGTTGCTATTTGAAGAAGAAAAAACAGATACCTGAGATAAATGGATACCTGTATGACAAATTAAGCTATCCCCATTTCCCAGAGCAAGCTTAGCCCACCTTCCAGCCAAGGATGCTCTCTGCACAAAAATCAGGAATATATGATTTGATCGAGAATTTAGTAAGAGAATTAGATCAAACAAAAAGAATATACATGAACTTAGAGAAAAGACATGCCTGCCCTGAAGTGTGTCCTTTGGAGCTACACAGTGTGATGTTGACTTACCTTGCGATGCTTAGTAAACATGCTTATTGCAGTACAACAAGGAAGATGAAGCTATTCAAGTTTGGGTATTACCTGGGAGTAATCACCAAGGATGGCTTTGTAGAGTCTCTGCACAGTGTAGGCATGCATCTCCACACTATTAGTTATTAGCTGAATCAGATTGGGAACAGCATCATCACGAACATAACTTCCTGCCTGCAAGAACAGCTGCTGTTAGGTTCACTATCCAACTTCTCAGTAACCCCCAGCATCTCCTGATAACCTTCACAAAGTCACTTGATGCATGGAAATAAAAATCAACCTACTCATCCCCAAGCACTTATGGTTAATTTTCAGTAGGCTCAGCTCAGATGGATAGATGTACAGAACAATACGTTTTCCCAGTGAACTCAACTATAACCAGAGAAATCCATACTATATATAACCTGAAATTGGCTGGAGGCAGAGTGGGGACATAAAAATCCTGTGCTACAGAAGAAACAAAAAGCAACACAGAAAACTCCTCTGTTACATGGAAGACTTTAAGTCTAAGACACCCTGGGGGCAGAATGCAGCTTATTCAACCACTTGCTCAAAGCAAGACTCTGCCAAACAAGCATAGGATCTTGAATCTTGCCTGCATCTCACTCTTTGGTTACAGGATAGGAATAATTCTGAGATATTGCTTCACCCCTTTCTCTCTGCGAGTTACTTAAGGCTGTGTTCACTTTCCCCTGAAAACACTGTATACTGGAACCACAGACAGCACAAGAGTTATCCTGATTTAGAAGGTACTTTAGTAGAAAAACTGCTACACCCTGTATTCTTGTGTGGTTTTGAAATTATGCATTTCTTCTATAAAACCAGTCATACTTACCAAGTTTACATGTTTCTGACTCGCTGCCCTGAGTCACTACCATCTAAGCATACTTCCTCTGTGTGGCAGCATCTGTCACCTGCCAGCCTTTATAGCCATCTCCAACTTGATGCTGAGTAACTTCCTACAGAAATAAAATTTGGTACGTAGTCACACACAGGAGAGGCAGCTTCACTTACCGTTGTTAAGACTCTCATAATTGTGTCTATGTGCCAGCGTTTGGAAGGAGCATATCTGACAAGATTAAGAAAGCAAGTTAGAGCAGTAACTGCTAGCTTTCAACACCAGCAAGAAACCCATCATCTTCAGAACCTCCCCCATTCAGTTATTTCCCGGCCCACTCTTTCCTGAGGGGGGAAACATTCAAAACACACACACACACACACACACACACACACACACACACACACAAAAACCCCCTCACAAAACAGAACATATTTCATATCCTTTGACTTTTTTGTGTTAATGCCGACATCGGAAAGATGCATGAATATACAAGGCTGTATAATATAGCACAGCTGTACCTTGCACATGTAGTACTGCAAAGTCAGGTGCTGCCGGTTACAATGGCTCAACAGTAATGGCTCAACTCATCTGAGTTGTACAACTAACCAGAGAAGCTGTGTGTGTGGACAGGGGCAAGGCCTGGATGACAGCACAACATGTATTCCAATGTGTAGCAGCAGTCAGTACACTAAACTGGTTTAGTGATATACGAGCTATCCATGTGCACCATACTAGTGGGTGCTGTTCCTCAGAGTGAGTTAAACTGACACCACCACACAGAGATCAGCAAATGGAGATGTGATCAACATATTCTCTCCTGGGGGATAAGGAAGGGAAGGAGCAACACAAAAAGCTCAAAATACTGAGAATGTACAAAAGAATAATAGCAAGCAAATTTATCTCATACTTTTCAGCTGCAAGAAAAATTCCAGATGCACAATCTGCCTTGAACTCTGGTTCACAGGAATCTAGGAAATACAGCAACTCCTTCATCATTCCACGGACATTGTTCCCATTAACAAGCGCAAAACTGAGTTCCATTGCACGCCTAGGGCAAGAGACAGAAAACAACGTATGTTCACCCAGTGAAGTAAACAAAACCACCACCACCAAAACCACCAAACCACAGGTCCAGCTACTCAAATGCACTTACCTTTTCATTAGGAGAGAAATATTTATTAATCCTGTGAGAACTGCATTCCACATTAAATATACCTGTGGCTTCCTGTTCATGAGCAGACAATAAATACTACCCCCCAAAAAACCTAAGAGAAAGTGGCATTGTGCGGTGCTCTAAAAATACCTATCCACACGTCCTAAGGGCTAGAAATATCTTTCAGCCACCAGAATCCATCAACTTTAAGGTCTAACTTCCCAAGTATCTGTAATCGGATAGTGGTCACCTCTGACACACAACTTCAGTAGGTAATCCATGTTACAACACACTTCCTCCAACTTCAGGGATCCAGAAGAGTCAATCTCCATATAGTAGAGATTCAAATACAGTACAGACTTAAAATATTCTGTCAGATAGACTACGTAAGACTTCTAGAACTCAAAATTACCCTGGTGCTCTTCTGAGAACCCACCCCCAACCTGACACCCCAACTAGACAGAGTACTGGCTCTTTGCTACTCCTTGTACTCATCACAACTCCAAAGACTAGTCCTTAGCCCTTCTACTTGAAGCTTCTGCAGCTTCTAGCACAACTCTTCCATTCTTCTGACTTTTTTTGAATTAAGGCTCCTATCTTCAAATGTGATTTGATTTCTGTACAATGTTGGCAATGAGTTATGTTAAAATACATGAAAATAGCTTCACTAAAAAACCCTAACTGTTAAAAATTGAGCATTTGGCATAATCCAGAACCCAAACCTCCAAGTTGTGTCCTCTTCATACTGTCAGGAGCTTTGTTCTCTGCCTGCCACTCAGACAGCTTACCAGAAGGCTAGAAAGATCCTCACAGCACATCAAAAACTTCCTTCCCCATTTCAGTTATCTTTTGAAATCACCTGGATAGTTGCTGAACTGTTTTGTTTGCACTGCTTGTTTTCAACAAGTTACATCCAAAATTATGCCAAAAGGCCTAAAGTCTATTTTGTAATACATACTTTCTCCAAATAGCTCAGACTTCAACGTGTGTTTGACTCCAGCAATTCTCACTAAAGTCATAATGTTGAGATGTGTGAGTTCTGCTGTCATCCTTTCATGTATTTACTGGCAGCAACCCTAGGATCAGTCCCAATGATTCCTTCTTGCTACAGTGCCAAGCTTGCCAATTTACCACACATCAACAGTTATCTTTTCTGATGCCTTAGTATTTTCCCAGAGATCATGAAACATCAACAACTTAAACCAGGCACGTTACCCAATCCAACAGTACTGGGCACAAGCTATTTGTTCTCAAGAACTCAGAAACACTGGACAGTACTGCTTCTCAATATCAACCTTGTTATTACTGCAATCATATAATGGTTTGGGTTCTCAATATCAACCTTGTTATTACTGCAATCATATAATGGTTTGGGTTCTAAGGGACCTTAAAGCTCACAGTTCCACCACCCACCTCCCACACGCAAGGTCAAGTTCCACTAGAGCAGGCTGCTCAAAGCCCCATCTGTCAATGTGTTATTTTGCTTTTTACCTAACTGATCTCCAGGGACCTAGAAAACACAGAAGTGTTCAGAATTAGAGTAGAAATACTTAACTAAATTATTACCTTTTATCATCTGGATCTGTGCCTCCTTGAAGACCTATACCATTATTAGAATTGTTTCAAACCCTCCAATTCATTCCCAACTCCTTACACCTAGACCTACTGGGTTAGAATTTTAACATGGCTTGATTTTTCAGTCACATTACAGCAGATATATCAATACTGCAGATGCACAGAGGTACACTGTAATCTTAATACCACACATTTATCTCAATACATGTGGCTTACCTTCAGTCATATTACATGGCTCATTCATGTCAGAAAGTTCCTAATAATGTAGTTCAACCATAATAAGCAGACAGACAAGAAGACTTGAACCTAATGGCAAAGCTATTCTGATTTACACAACATGGACCAAAGATCCGCTGAAGTGGTTAAAAGATGATGGGAATAGACGATATTTCAGATAAACCAAACCAGGTATTACCTCTTTTCCTCAAATCACAGCAGTTGAAATCTGGTATCTGGGGACTCTGATATCCAGTCAATATGTTGCTTTAAGGAAGATATTGCACTGTCAGCAGCATGAGTGTCAGGATGGTGACATCATGCTCTGCTGACGGATCACTCAAAGGCTTCATCCTTCAACAGCACTTAAAACATGAAGCTCTGTCATTTGTAGCACATCAATACTTTCCTAGCAGGCACCAACAAAATGCTTTTGTTGCCTTCTACCACAGCCTTGCCTTATGCTGGCTCTGGCACTCAACAGCAACAGCATCCTGACTTGCCCAGCATGCAAGATACAAGTTAGTGTTTGTGTTTTGATTGCAACCCATTACACAGCAGTTAAAACCAAGTTTTCAGAAGTGAGACAGATTCATTTTCTTTCCTATTCTGAACATACTAGACCGAGCAGTTCTGTTAACAATCTAGATCTGAATAAAAGGCAGGCATGTACTTGAAAAATACCTATTAGAATGAGTATCTACGGCCTATCAGTTCACAAGAGGGAAAAAAAATAGGTTGAGCAATTTTGAAAGTATATTAATGATGTGATGATAGCCTTCTATGGTGGGGCTATGGAACTGATGGACAGGGGTAGAGCAGTTGACATCATCTACCTGGACTTGTGAAGAGCGTTCAACACTGTCCCACACGACACCCTTGTCTCTAAATTGGAGAGACAGCAATTTGATGAATGGACCACTTGGGGGATAAAGAATTGGCTGGAGGGCTGCACACAAAGAGTTGTGGTCAATGGCTCAATGTCCAGCTGGAGACCAGTAACGAGTGGTGTCCCTCAGGGATCGGTGTTGGGACCGGTCTTGTTTAACGTCTTCATCGCTGACATGGACAGTGGGATTGAGTGCGCCCTCAGCAAGTTTGCGATGACACCAAGCTGTGTGTTCGGTTGATACGCTGGAGGGAAGGAATGCCATCCAGAGGGACCTTGACACGCTTGTGAGGTGGGCTGATGCCAACCGCATGAAGTTTAACCATGCCAAGTGCAAGGTCCTACACCTGGGTTGGGGCAATCCCAGACACAGCTACAGGCTGGGCAGAGAAGAGATTCAGAGCAGCCCTGTGGAAAAGGACTTGGGGGTGCTGGTCGATGAGAAAATGAACATGAGCTGGCTTCAGTGTGTGCTCACAGCCCAGAAAGCAACCGTATCCTGGGCTGCATCAAAAGGAGCGTGACCAGCAGGTAGAAGGAGGTCATCCTGCCACTCTACTCTGCTCTCCCGAGACCTCACCTGCAGTATTGTGTGCAGTTCTGGTGTCCTCAACATAAAAAGGACATGGAACTATTGAAACAAGTCCAGAGGAGGGCCACAAGGATGGTCAGGGGACTGGAGCACCTCCTGTATGAAGATCAGCTGAGAAAGTTGGGCCTGTTCAGCCTGGAGAAGAGAAGGCTGCGTGGAGATCTCACAGCAGCCTTCCAGCACATGAAGGGGGCTTATAAGGATGCTGGGGAGGAACTCTTCATTCAGGACTTCAGTGACAGGACAAGGGCTAACAGGCTCAAACTTAAACAGGGGAAGTTTAGATTGGATAAAAGGAAGAAGTTCTTTCCTGTTAGGGTGGTGATGCGCTGGAATGGGCTGCCCAAGGAAGTTGTGAATGCTCCATCCCTGGCGGTGTTCAAGGCCAGGCTGGACAAAGCCTTGGGTGACATGGTTTAGTGGGAGGTGTCCCTGCTCATGGCAGAGGGATTGGAACTAGATGACCTTAAGGTCATTTCCAACCCTAACTATTCTATGATTCTACAACTGAATGGAATTTTGGCCTGCCGCAGACAGATTCCACACACTGCAACAGGGATGCAACTGTCCGCCATGACTGACATGTCATATACTGCACTGATTTCAGACCATCTATTTACAGAAAGGATAACTATGAGGAAGAGGGTTCTGACAGAAAGAGCAAGCAATTGACAGCTGAAAAACTCAATTTAGATGAACAGCATTCCATATAGGCTGGGAAGAAGTGAGATCGAAACAATCAAGACTATCTATGAGCATCTGACAGAAACAGGAGAAAGTTACTATTATAAGTAAAAGGAACATGACTAAGGAGAAAAAGACAAGTTTAAACTGAGTAGCAGAAAAAACATTTTCCTCTAGTTTGAAGTCAGGCTGCAAGCTCTCCCACTGCCCAGAGCAGCAGCAACATACTGGTATTTAAGTAACAAATGAACACCAAGAATGCATAACAGGACGTGGTTTGTAAGCAAATTATTTGAACTATCAAGTCTGAATTCTACCACTATCTAATCAAATTTCATCTAGAATACATTATTTGGATGGCTTAGCACTGCTTCAAGACAACATGGCACTATCTGTTTGCCCGGGAAGAGAAGCAATATGGAGCATGTCAGAGTAGCTTTGATTAGGGTCACACTTCATGGAGACTTTCCATCTTCTGAGCACACAAATCTCATCTTCACTGAGACTCCATTTTGGAAAAATTCAGGCAAACAGAAAGGTTTTTTTATTTGTCCAATCTTGGATGCCCAAAATGTAAAAGCAGCCTGCCAAAGAACGTGCCTGCACATCATCATTACCTTCCTTGAAGTATGAGCCATACAGTTGTCGTGGTTTAACCCAACCAAACAGCTTGTTCACTTACTCCCAGTGAGTGGTGCCAGGCGTTAGTCCGCCCCCCCCCCTTCCCCAGGGGCTGCCACCCCCTTTCCCCGCTCCCAGAGGGGTGGGGAGGAGAATCGAAGGAATGCAACTCCCACGGGCTGAGATAAGAACAGTCTAGCAACTAGTGTACAATACGAATCACCACTGCTACCACCAACGACAACAATGATAAGAGAAAACAGCAAAGGAAAGGAGTACAATACCACGCGCCGAACCACCAGTCCGACCCGGCCGACCCCCTCTCCTTCCGGGTCCCTCCCAGTTCCCCCCTCGGCATGACGTGCTGTGGTATGGAATACCTCTTTGGTCAGTTTGGGTCAGGTGTCCTGTCTCTGCTTCCTCCCGGCCTCCCCTCCTCCCTGGCAGAGCATGAGACTCACAAAGTCCTTGGCCAAACCAAAACATCATTTTTATCAGCTTTGTTCCCAGCCCGAAAGTCAAAACACAGCACTGCACCAGCTACCAAGAAGGAGAAAAAATGACTGCTGCTGCTAAACCCAGGACAACAGTGCATTAACACCAGTCTCGTTCACAGTTCCCTAAGATTATTGTAATTTTCTCTCCCCGATGTACTGTTCGCTTTCCATACACTGTCAACTTGAGAGTCGATGTCACTGATATTTCAATTACCTTTTAATGGAGACATCCAGATCCTTCAGGCAGTCAACAATTGTGCTTCTATGCCGCTGTACTGCATTATGGTCTGTCTGCACAGTTTTCAACAATGATGTCAAAGCTACGTATCTGAGACAGGACACAGAGGCATGAACAGTTTGACAGTAAGAATTTCTATGCACACTCACACCCCCAGAACTTAGTCCTGTTTTGCAACAGGGTTCTTGTACTCAGTAACAAAACCTTCCATGGGACTGCCTGGCCTATCTTCAAAGGTGAGTAACCACCTAAACTGTGAGGAGCACAGCAACACCCTGATGCTGGACAAGCACCCATCCCAGCTGCTGGGCTTATGTCAGTTGTTCTGTCTTCACTAAGATTTTGAAAAATCAAGGCAATTAAAGATTAGACCTCTGCAGATCATACACTCAAACTGGTGTAAATTGCAACTCCCATGGCTGGAGTCTTCTACCTGCAACAGGATTTGCAATCAACATACCTAGAGATGATCTATCATACACACAGGCTAATCAACTTAAAAGGCAGGTCCACAGTGAAGATTTGCACAGGTAATATAATGCACCAAGAGAGAAGAAAGCTAGACAGTCATGCTACCCCCAAAACAGTACTTCCCGAAGCGGTCTACAGCAAAGCTCTACTGCAGCACAATCTTTACATAATTGCTTCTCATGCATTTTAAACTGGGTGTTGCCAAAGCACACCTCATGCAACTTACCGAATGTTTTTGTCATTGTTTAATAAGAAACGGCCCAGGATGTTAATGGCTAGCACCTACAGAAATAGAGTGAGGGAAGGTCAGTATTGAAAAAAGCTTCTGGTCATCTCCACTTTCAAGATGATTTTAAAGGCAATGTCTCCAAGTTACTGCTGCAGTTCTTAGCCAAAAGCATAACGAAGAACTCCAGAGGCTGCCTCAGCAGAAGAAAACCTAAGACAAACACAGCACAGGCTCTCTCTTGCTCTCAAGGGAGCACAGTCTGCAGGAAGTTTTGCTATCTTTTGCTATTAAAAAAATTAAAACCACCAACAAAAAAACAAATACCACTTTCTGAAGTGTCTATAGTCTTATCTAGAGCCAACTGCAGAGCTATGTCTGGGTGAAACAATTTTCCTTCATGTCCTCTACACAAATTACTCTAATACAACCTGGGGAGGGACAGGGGCATAGCAAAGGCAACTTACCCGCAGCCCACTCTCAGATTTTATGTCCATAATCGTCAGCACAGTTTCATAGAGAATGGCATTTCCCACATTTTTACTTGTTTCTGTATTAGTGGCAACCTGGAGAAAAGAAACAAAATCAGTGACTCTAACCCATCCAAAACAGATCCCCTGCGTGCTGTTCGGAAAAGCATGCAGTAAAACTAACCAACTGCTAGCAAACAAGTATCACACCTAGTAACATGTGTCTCTTACAGCAAAATTCAACACAGCACAGCAAGCTACTGTATCCTCACCAGTGCTGCTGAATCCAAAGTACTAAGAAACCAAACGAGAAAGTTTAAACTGCTCATCCACCTTTCAGACCTCACCTGTGCAAGTATATCATTCATTGCTTCACTAGAATCATCATCATTTCGTCCCAGAATTCTTAGTAACCGCAGGATTCGTACCTGTTTGACAAAATAAAGCAAAGCAAAGCTCACTGGATGGCAGCGTTTTACCTCGGGGTCATGAAACACCCAGCATATTTCCTGAGGTGTAGGAAAGAAGCAAAACAAGCTGCTAATTTCCATTCCTAAGCAAAATGGTTATCCTTAACAAGACCTTTACCAACAAGAACAAGCTTATGCTGTGCTCATTTTCTTCCCAGTAGCCAGACCTGTTAAGAGTACCTCTGCTACCCACTACGGCACACACTTGC